CAGCTTCCCTTGGCTGCCTCTTCGGATTATAATAAGGGGCCCCCCAAAACAATATTGGTAATTAGTTGGGCGCCTATATTATAAAGCTTTTAGTAGACCTTCGGATGTGGAGGTTTGAGTCCAGAGTGTTGGGCTTCAGGAGGCTTGACTGGGATACAAGCTGCACTGGAAAGGCGGGTTGAGGGCTCGGGGTTCTTCTGGATTCTCCAGATACTCTCCCTTAGGATATAATTAGAGGGTGGGATGCCCAAAGCCAGCACCCCAGTCTCGGGAAGAGTGAGGACACTTGTGAGCTTGCTTTCTTTGGCTATAGAGTACTATCACATCCACAATTGATGCACAGTCGCAAGCATCCTCTCAGCACCAGTACCCTCGAGGGTGTGGGAAATCCGGTTCGTGGACTCTAGCAGTGTTCTCACCCGAACCGAGGCTGCGGGTGTTCAGATTTCAGGGTTCGACCGTTTTACAGATTTCAAGGTTCGACCGTTTTACGACTTCGACCCTGAACCCTCAACCCCCCCCTACACCCTAAAACCTAAACCCTAAACCCCAAACCCTAAACCCTAAACCCCAAACCCTAAACCCTAAAACCTCCCCACCTTTAGCCCCCCAAAGGGGGCTTGGGATCTTCAAACATCCCACGGGCTGGGCTCATGGCAATGTCTGACACGTAGGTACCTCAAAGAAACGGAGCGGAAAGTTAAAGGAAACTACAGGTGGGGAGTTTAGGGTATATAGGGCTTCTATAAGGCTTCTATAAGGTATATGGGGCTTCTACAAGGCTTCTATAAGGTATATAGACCTTCTAGAAGGCTCTTATAACGGTAACTACCCACCTGAAAACGTCTTAGAGAAAGAAGCTGCTATCGTGCATAACGGTCCACTGTAGTCTGTCATAGTCTGTTAAAGTCTAGTACTGCTTACTGCTGGGCATAGCATTAAAAGTATATTACAAGTTATAGCATATTGTACGATTGTAGGGTTTTGTCATCTGTGATCATGCATAATCGTATAGTACCAGAAGCAGAATGCCTCACCCCAATATGTTCTAACTTGATGGTCTCTACCGGAACTCTACCGTCGGGGACATTTCGGGCAAACAGAAGAGTTGATTCTTCTGGTTCGACCACCGCTCTTGTGGATGACGCTGCAAACCTTCATGTTTCAAGGAACCATATCCCTGAACTTTAGACCTTGAACCACAAAGCCCTGAACCGACTAGTTGCCGCCCCCAAAAAAAATACCTTTCTGTCTTTAAGCTCTGAACCCCTTCCGTCTGGCCTTGTTTGGTTTGGGGCCGACGGGGCATCACATTCTGGCGCTCTTGGGAGGATGGACTCAGCCTTCGGGTGTCCGTGCGCTTGCAGCCACAGAGATTATATGTGTGCATATAAATATATTCATGTTGATAGCCATTTTGATAATATTTATGTTTATAGGTATTTTGATATTCATATAGATACGACAGACAAAACCGAACAGCCTTTGAAGAAAAGGCTGCGAAAACAGGATCTCTGCGCAAACCGTCTGTATGCCCCGTCTACGCCCTTACAGTGGCCTGGGGAGGTGTCTTGCGGAGTCACAGTTGATTCGATTTAAGGTTTAGGGCCTGAGCCCTAAACCCTAAGCCCTAAATTTAGGGGTTAGAGGGTTTAGGGCTGCTTCACCTTTGCCGCCATGGCGCAGTCCCTCTCCCGAACCAGGGTATTGCCGTAGAGGCTGAGAAAGACCTCTGCCCAAGAAAACAGCGATGAACGGTTTAGGGTTTAGGGTTTAGGTCTTCAATGGAGTACTTGCCTGGGTCAGGGGAGGCCTCGTAGAGAGTCGGTGAAACCTGTAGCTAACCCGAACCACCCCTGCAAGGTTGTCAGATGTTCTCAGACGCCTGCAACGGCTCAAACCCAAACACGTGTTCACGTGAGCTTGTCTGCGGTCGAACCTGAGAACATCGGCAGCTTTACACCGTCAATGTCTCTGGGGTGCTGGATCGACTCTATCCGTATGCTGCTCCTGTATGTTCTGCATTGCCTCCCCAGCTTTGAGCTAAGGTCCCCGTAAACTCTTTGGCAAACACATGGGTGGGTTGCTGAGGAAGAAGAAGAAGAATTTCTACCGAGCAGGCTTTGGTCGGGGACCTAAACCCTAAACCCTCAACCCTAAACCCTCAACCCTAAATCCTCAGCCCTAAACCCTAAACCCTCAACCCTAAACCCTCAACCCTGAACCCTGCTGCTTATCTTATTCCGTCGTAAACTTCGTAAACTAAGGAGCCCCCGAAAGAGAAAGGGCAGAAGGGTACGACAGCTGGGCCTAGCCTCAAAACTCCTATATAATCTATACAACCCTGTAGGACGCTCATATAACACAATAAAAGAGCCGTAAAACTAGAACAGGGTTTGGGGGGTACTTCTAATACGGAGCCCCCACAATAGTATGGGAAATTCTTCAGGCCCCTATACTACTCACAAGACATCAACAACATCCTTGTCACAAAACATCAGCAAGATCCTTTTGCATCATTGTAAAGCCCTTCTACAACCCGTATGCAACCCAACCTGATTAAACTCTCTCACACCATCAATGGCACCATATATATATATATATTGTGATAACAACCCCGAGCGGGATTTCAAGGTTCTTCTTCTTTTTGACAAGAACTTGTGCTGCAACCTTCTCGAATGCCGGATCGGCACCTTGACGCAACCCAGGAAGACACCTAAAAAACCCTAAACCCTAAACCCTAAACCCCTAAACCCTAAACCCTAAACCCTAAACCCCTAAACCCTAAACCCTAAACCCTAAACCCTGAATTCCATGAGCCAACAGGAAATCGACTGAAATCCTGACCTCCATCCTGACCCTGCATCCGCCAGTGCCCTCGGATCGCATGTAATCTGCCTCCATTCGCTCTCGGATGGGCAGCGCCTGCACAAGATTGGAGGGAAGTTCCTGATGGTTGAAGTCTAACGTTTCGAGTTTGAAGGTGAGGGTTGCTTTTTTTGAAGGGGGGAGTTGGGTTTAGGGTTTAGGGTTTAGGGTTTAGGGTTTAGGGTTTAGGAAGGGTGCTTGTAGAGAGCCATACTAGAATATAGCGTTTACAGGCTTGGCAGCTGTTTTGACTCAGAGGCTCCTCCGCGAGAACTGCAAGACTGTAGGAATTGCGAACTGCCACAGAAGAGACAACTCATGATGTTACATGTAGGGTTTAGGGTTTAGGGTTTAGGGTTACAGATATAACAGCAAAACCACAGAAGTAGCTACAAACTGGACGATTTTAGCACTTTGCAGCGGCACGCATCGAAGTAGTGCGACTAGCAAAACGAACCAGCAAGCCACAACCAGATCAACAGAAGCAACACGAAGAAACCATCGTGACAAGGAGAATCATGCTAGCCCTCCGCGCCCTTGACTCTTACACCCTGCGCCGCCTGAAACCCTCACAGCCTTGCAACAGCTGATGTAGGGGCCTTTATAATTAGTATAGTTTTTGTTTTTTTGTGGTATGTATATATATATATATATATTCTACTAGCTATAACTAAAACCAGTAGCGCCCAACAAATGGTGTAGGTAGTTATTCAGGCCTCTATATTAACCTAGAGCCCTAGAACCCTACACTCTTCTTCTTCTGCTGCTTAGATGCGGATCGGAGTCTCCCGCCTTATTCCCATACGGGAGTTTCCAAAAATTAGGGTACCTTATTTTGGGGTCCTTATAATAAGGGTCCTACTATTTAGGGTACTATATTAGGGTCCCCTATTTCGGAAACTCCCATATCGACTGGCCCAGACTCCTCCCGACCCCTTCCGAAAACACATGGGTTTAGGGTTTAGGGTCTAGGGGCATAAGGTTTACGGTTACCAAGCACCCTTAAGAGAGCCTCTCGCTTCTTGTGACGATTTAAATTTCTGGAACCGGAGCCCACAGTGACACTGAGGATTGCTTTGCCGGGTTCTTGTGGTCTTACAGGCTATAAACCCTAAACCCTAAACCCTAAACCCTAAAGGTTTATGTAGGGGCATGACGTCTATTTATGACTGTAGGACTTCAACTTGGGAAGCTTCAGACTTCGCGGCCCGCCGTAAAAGTTCAAAAAGAAACGGAAGAACTACGGGTTGGACCGCGCCGGCAGAGCCACGGTTTAGGGGTTTAGGGTTTAGGGTTTAGTTTTTTAGGGTTTAGGGTTTAGGGACCTGGTTGTTGATGATCTGCAGGAACAGAAGATGCCTCGCAAGGACCTGCACGTGGAACAGTATCGTCACAGCTGCAACATGCGAACGACAGCATGAGACTAAGCACAACTGGAAAAAGGAACCATATTATGGAACGCTATAGTACCCCTTACAGGGAACCCTGGCCGAAGTGGGGGTTCATGCTTCGCAGCATACAAACGACGTCAAACAACAGCTCAGAGGTGAAATCCATTCGGAAAGCGATTCAACTAGCCGAAGCTGGATAAGTCGGGCCAGTTAGTTGTGAGATCCGGCAGGTCCTGCTGTGCCACTACTACATGCCGCACAGTGTCTTGCTGGAGGAAGAGCCTGAGGAACCTCAAAAGATGCTGAGCAGTGTCCTTGCTTTGCTTGGGTCCTAGATCAGATCGTGGCTAAGTGTCATCGTTGATTTGTTGGCCGATTGGCATATCAAAAAACACTGAAGATGGGCTGCTTCGCTGCAGAGGACGCCTCGTGCTTGCTCTCGTGCAGAAAGAAGCGCACTTTTCGGTGGTCCTGTACGGCTCGATGCTTTTCGGTCTTAGGCTTTGGGGTTGTTTGGGCTTCTAGATTAAAGCTTTCGAGGCTTCAATTTAACCTAACCATGAGCCTGAACGATACTTAAGAATACCCTTCAACGTACTGTATAATGGAACACTACACCACACGCCCTCTCTCTCTCTCTCTCCCCCAAAGAGAAATCCAGTTGAAGCTCTATCCGAAGGAGCCAGCCCGCCGCCGGGGGTGAACAGCCAAACCATCTGGGAATCTCAAACCCTGTACAATTTACCCAAAACCCTAAATTGAACCCTAAACCCTATAGACCCTAAACCCTGAACCCTGAACCCTAAACCCTGAACCCTAAACCCTAAACCCTAAACTCCGCCATCTAGAGCCTGAGGCTTCGGACATCTTCGGACTTCGGGTTTGGGGGGGTTTTGGGGTTTTAGGGTTCAGGAGTTTGGAGGTTTAGAGGTTTAGGGTTTAGGGGTTTAGGGGTTTAGAGTTTAAGGGTTTAGCGGTTTAGGGGTTTCGAGGTTTAGGGTTTAGGGGTGGTTTGTCAACCATGACTGTACTGGGACTCTGCAATAATGGCACAGATGCCGGAAATGTGCTGAATTAACGTAAACCCTAAACTCCAAACCCCCATGCACAAGTCTCAGAACTCGTCCATCGAGGAGATCCCATGAAAAGGTTTCAGAACTCGCCACTCTAAGTGATGGAGGACTGGCAGTAGCAAATTTCGTCAACTAAGTATCGTTGAAACTCAGTCTGTGCGGAAAGAAGCTAGGGTTTTCCAAGTGGTCCTAAGGGTATGTACGGATAGTTTTTATTTTTCTGGGCTATCAGCATATGCAGGTTACAGGATCTTTTGGCCCCGTGGGTTCAGGCTTAAGGTTTAGGGTTTGTGGCTTTGGGTTGTTTTGGGGGGTGGGGTGAGGGTTCAAGAATTATGGTTGCTTAGGGGTTGGGTTTGGGTCTAGGGTCCGGGGCTGTTTCGGGTTTAAGGTTGTCTCCGAAAGCTCGAAAGAAGCCGTAAAAGGCGAAGGCCCGACTCACGAAATAGGTTGATCGTTCTGGGTCTCCCTACCTGGACTCCAGCGCCCTAAACCGTTTTCAACAACTCAACAAACCCTAAAACCCAAAAGGCCCCTAAAGCCCCCAAAAGGCCACTAAACCCCAAAAGCCCTTAAACCCCCACAACAAAAACTCCACTGCAAGCTCCTGTCTCCGCCGGCGTGCCAGAGTCTTGACCTTGCTCTTTCTTGGGATCTTCAGTTTATTATGGTTTAGGTTTTAGGGTTTAGGGTTTAGGGTTTAGGGCTTAGCAGGGATACGGGCCTTACTATGCGCTTTGGAGAGCCAACAGCTCCCTGAATTGAAAAAAGCCTGTTTTGGGTTGAAGGGGGGGCAGGAGTCGGTCCTGCAGGGATTTTTCCTTACGGTTCCTTATTATACCTGTATACTAACCATCACACATATATGTATACATATATATANNATACATACATACATACATATGTACGCCCCAAGCCCTGTTCGACTGATTCAGGTTTGGGGGGATCTGGAGGAGGCTTCGAGTTGCGGGTTGACAGCACAGGGATTACGGAATCGGAATGATGACACGCCTAAATGTAGTAGTGGTAGTAGTAATAGTAGTAGCAGTAGTAATAGTGGTGGCAGTAGTAGTAGTAGTAGTAGTAGTAGTTGTTGTTGTTGTTGTTGTAGTAGCAGCAGCAGCAGCAGTAGCAGTAGCCGCCCTAAGCCCTAAACCCCAAGCACCAAACAAACCCTGAACCCTAAACCCTAAACCCCAAACACCAAACTTCCAAAAGCCGGAAGCAGCCTTTCTCCTCTGTCGGAGCGAAGGCGGACGCGGCACTCTAAGCCCCAAACCCTTAGTATTAGCGGCCTTATGGTACCTCGATATTAAGTTAGGGTTTAGGGTTTAGGGTCTCGGGTTTAGGGTTTAGGGAATATTAGGAAAAATATTGTCCATCAGGCTCTTATAACTATAAACCTAACACGCCTGCTTCAGGGCTTAGGGTGACCCGGGGCTCCTGCCACATGTCGAAGATCAGCACCGGCTGTGATCAGCACATTGATGGTGTCCGAACCCTGCTCTTCGAAAAGGCTTGCTTCAAGTAATAGGGTTTAAGGTTTGAGGCTTAGGATTGCTTCAATTAATAGGGTTTAAGGTTTAAGGCTTAGGATTGCTTCAATTAATAGGGTTTAAGGTTTAAGGCTTAGGATTGCTTCAATTAATAGGGTTTAAGGTTTAGGGCTTAGGATTTCTGCAAACTCATAGGATTTTAGATTACCTTAAATGGGGTTGTTGGCTTCGGCTTTGCTTGGAGGATGAGGCTCAGCAGGCTTTTCTCGCACTTTTCGCTTGGGCTGAGCTTGAAAGGAGGTGTTCCACCTCGTGTTCCCATTGAGTTTTTCATTCGGGCATTTGCGGCGAAAGTTGGAGCATCTAGGTGCACAGTGGTTCTACACAGGTTAGTGCTATCCTTGCCTGCTTTAATCGATTACCGTTTTTCGACAACAAGTACTGGCAATACTGCAATGGCTCAGACATGATGTGTCTAAGTTTGGGACATAGCTGGCTTATGGGATTATGTAGGCGCGCTCAGGGTCTATGGGGCCTGTAACCCCACAAGTGGTACAATCCATGGGTTCTGATTTCGGGGGAGCTGGCCAAGGGTTTGCGTGGGGGCCTCTCCCGAGAGGGCTCTTCGAACAATAGCGAACGGTTTAGGGTTTAGGGTTTGGGGGGGTTTAAACAACAAGCAAAGTAGTAAAATCAGCATCACCAAAAGTACGAAGTAGTAGTCACCGTCGCGTTTGCCGTGTTGTCATCATGGACCCATGGTACTGGACGAGTGGTGACGGCGATGATGCTGGTGGGGACACGACTTCAGGCGTAGAGATGTGTGCTCCAGGCGCAAGTACTCGTCGGTCGCCGTAACACTATCTGCATCGTCTCGGAAGCACCAGGAAGCTATGAGTCCATGAGCGCCATTCCAGAGGGTGCATGGAAACTACTATTCGGCAATTAGGTCCCCCAAAAACTATGATGCAGAATGGTCTTTCGGGGTCTGATTCCGCGGTGGCATCTCTGGGCCCTCTGGGATTAGTACACCCTACGCCCCAAAACCCTGATACGCCCTCTAAGCACAGATTTTGCCCGCTTTGCGCGGAGCTGGC